GGGTGTAGTCCATGGTGCGTCTCCACCAATCGTGGTTGCTGGCTGGGACCAGGGCGGTTTTAAATGTGCAATTGCATGGGCTGCTGACGTTGGTGATACGCGAAGCGTCACAAATTATCCGGACGAGAAACCCAAACATATGTAAATGTGAATAACGCGTTGTGGGTGTCGCTTCCGGTGGGCCTCGCAACGCGTGATGAGGCGTGCCGTAATGGGTGGGGGGAACGCATGCGGGCGGTCCCACTGGGGTCTTCGGTGCAGCTCCCTGTGGGGCCACGACGCACCGAGTGGGTTGTGGAGACGCATTCGGGCGTTGCCACTGGGGCCTTCGGTGGAGCTCCGTGTGGGGCCACGAAACGCTCTACTGGGTGGGGGGACGCATGCGGGCGGTCTCACTAGGACCTTCGCAAGAGCTTCCTATGGGGCCACGAAGCGCTGTACTGGGCGGGGGGGGGGGGGGGCGCAGCGGTGCGACTGGGGTCTTCGGTGGAGCTCCCTTTGGGGCCGCGACGCGCTGTACGAGGTGGGGGGGCGCATGCGGGCGGCCCCACTGGGACGTTCACTGGAGTTCCCTATGGGGCCACGACGCGCTGTATTGGGTGTGGCGGACGCATGCGAAAACCCCCACTGGGGCCGTCGGTGGAGCCCCCCATGGGGCCACGAAGCGCTGTACTGGTTGTAGCGGACGCGTGCGGGCATCCCCACTGGGGCCTTCGGTTGAATTCCCAATGGGGCCACGAAGCGCTGCACTGGGTGTGGCGGACGCATGCGGGCACCCCCACTGGAACCTTCGGTGGAGCTCATTACGGAGCCACGAAACGCTACTGGGTCTGGCGGACGCATGCGGGCACCCCCACTGTGGTGGAGCTCCCTATGGGGCCACGAAGCGCTGTACTGGGTGTGGCGGACGCATGCGGGCACCCCCACTGGGGCCTTCGGTGGAGCTCCCTATAAGGGCCACGAAGCGCTGCACTGGGTGTGGCGGACGCATGCGGGCATCCCCACTGAAGCCTGCGGTGGAGCTCCCTTTGGGGCCACGAAACGTGTGAGAGGTGCGCCAAAGTGATGGGGGTTGACGGGAATAGGGGGGAGGGGGGGATGAGGAGGAGAAAAGAAGAGAGGAACGCGGGGACCGTCTTTTCAAAACGAAGACCCAACACCACAGGATGGTTGGAAAACATCCTCCTCCTCCTCCTCCTCCTCCTCCTCCTCCTCCTCCTCCTCCTCCTCCTCCTCATCGTCCTCGTCCTCGTCCTCCTCCTTTTCCTCCTCCTCCCTCTCCTCCCTCTCCTCCTCCTCCTCCTCCTCCTCCTCCTCCTCCTCCTCCTCCTCCTCCTCCTCCTCCTCCTCCTCCTCCCCCTCCATTCCTTCTCTTTATCAATAACTTCTCCCTGCCGCAGCCCGAGGCCACTTTTTAGGGCGGGCTGGGCGTCTCGCCTGAACCTTCCTCACCACGTATGATTTTGAAACTAAGAAACTAATACATTTGCCATAATTGAGGGCGAATCGTTTTCAACATGTGGCTCTCGCCTTAACGCCACGCATATTCGCCTTAAATTATCCTGGGGAAAAAACCCAACCACATGTAGTTGTGGATAACGCATTGTGGGTGTCGCTTCCGGTGGGCCACGAAACGCGTGATGAGGCGTGCCGTAATTGGTGTGGCGGGCGCATGCGGGCGGTCCCACTGGGGCCTTCGATGGAGCTCCCTGTGGGGCCACGACGCGCTGTAGTGTGTTGTGGAGACGCATGCGGGCGGCGGCGCCACTGGGGCCATCGGTGGAACCCTCCTATGGGGCCACGAAACGGTGTACTGGGTGGGGGGGGGGACGCATGCAGGCGGTCCCACTGGAACCTCCGCGGGAGCTCCCAAAGGGGCCACGAAGCGCTGCACTGGGTGGGGGGACGCAGCGGTGCCACTGGGGCCTTCGGTGGAGCTCCCGATGGTGCTACGAAGCGCTGTACTGGGCGGGGGGGACGCATGCAGGCGGTCCCACTGAAGCCTTCGGTGGAGCTCCCTATGGGGCCACGAAGCGCTGCACTGGGTGTGGCGGGCGCATGCGGGCGGTCCACCTGGGGCCTTCGGTGGAGCCCCCATATGGGGCCACCACGCGCAGTGTTGGTTGTGGCGGGCGCATGCGGGCGGTCCCACTGTGGAGTTCGGTGGAGTTCCCTATGGGGCCACGAAGCGCTTTACTGGGTGTGGCGTACGCATGCGGGCACCCCATTGGGGCCTTCGGTGGAGCTCCCTATGGGGCCACGAAGCGCTGTACTGGGCGGGGGGGACGCATGCAGGCGGTCCCACTGAAGCCTTCGGTGGAGCTCCCAATGGGGCCACGAAGCGCTGTACTGGTTGTGGCGGGCGTGTGCGGGTGGTCCACCTTGGGCCTTCGGTGCAGCACCCCATGGTGCCACGAAGCGCTGTACTGGGCGTGGCGGACGCATGTGGGCAACCCCACAGGGGCCTTCAGTGGAGCTCCCTATGATGCCGCCAAGCGCTGTACTGGGTGTGGCGGACGCATGCGGGCACCCTCGCTGGGGCCTCAGATGGAGCTCCCTGTGGGGCCACGAAGCGCTGTACTAGGTATGGCGGACGCATGTGGTACCCCCCACTGGGGCCTTGGGGGAGCTCTCCATGGGGCCACGAAGCGCTGTACTGGGTGTGGCGGACGCATGCGGGCACCCTCACTGGGGCCTTCGGTGGAACCGCCCTATGGCGCCACGAAGCGCTGTACTGGGTGTGGCGGACGCATGCGGGCACCCCATAGGGGCCTTCGGTGAAGCTCCATATGGGGCCACGAAGCGTGTGAGGGGTGTGCCAAAGTGAGGGGGGGTGACGGGAGGAAGGAGGAAGGGGAAGAGAGGAGGAGCGCGGTGACCGTTTCTTCAAAACGAGGACCCAACTCCACAGGATGGTCGGGGAACAGTTGCAATACTTTCACGTACTGAGGGCGGCTCCTTTTCACAATGTGGTTCTCGCCGTAGCGCCGCGCACATTCGTCTTAAAAAACTGGCAAAACATCGCAGATTGGGGGCGGATCGTTTTCAAGGTGTGGCTCTCGCCTTAGCGCCGCGCACACTCGTTGTAAAGTATCCCGGCGAAGTACCCACCCATATGCAATTGTGAGTAGCGCGTTGTGGGTGCCGCTTTCGGTGGAGCTCCCTATGGGGCCACGAAGCGCGTGAGGGACGTGCAGTGATGTGTGTGTGTGTGTGTGTGTGTGTGTGGGGGGGACGCATGCAGGCGGTCCCACTGGGGCCTTCGGTGGGGCTCCCTATGGGCCACGAAGCGCTGTCCTGGGCGTGGCTGACGCATGTGACCACCCCCACTGGGGCCGCAGATAGAGCTCCCCATGGGGCCGCGCAGCGCTGCACTGAGTGTCGCGGGCGCATTTGGCCATATAGTGGGCGCAGGTAGTTTTCTGCATGGCGCTCTCGCGCTGGCGTCGCGCACGTGCATGCCACAAAGTCGCAGCAGTTGATGTAACCCCTCGTTTTTCAAGTGTGGCTCTCGCCTTGGCGTCGCGAACGCTCGTATCAAAAGGCTGCGGGCCCCAAGGATAACGCGCAGTACTCCGAACGGGGCCCTCGCCCTGGCGCCGCGAGCGCTCGCCCTCGCCGTTTGCAGCAGCTTCGAGGACGGGGCACAAGCGCAGGCCGTTTACAAAGCACAGCCAACGCCCGAACGCCAAGCACATTCGTCTTAAGAGCCTGCACCAGCTTCAGGGATGGACGGGGTAGCTTTCAACATGTGGCCCTCGCCTAGGCGCCAGCACACTCGTCTTCACATGTGCCAACGGCTTCAAGGATGGAGGTCGGTTCGTTTTCAAACTGTGGCCCTCGTATTAGCGCCCCGCACATGCGTGTGACAAAACTGCCACAGTTGAAGCACCCATCGTTTTCCAAGTGTGGCTATCGCCTTAGCGTCGCATTCAAAATGGGGCTCGCGGCGTGGCACAGCCAGCTCGACGACTTTTAACCAGCTTCGAGGACGGAGACGGAGCACAGGTCGTTCACAAAAATATGGCTATCGCCCAGGTGCTGCACACACTCGTCTCAAGAACACGCATCAACTTCAAGGATGGAAGGGGGTAGCACATTTGTCTTGACATGTGGCAGCAGCTTCGAGGATGGAGGGCGGCTCATGTTCATACTGAGGCTCTCGCCTCAGCGCTGCGCCGCGCATTCGTCTGAACTGTCAGCAGGAGTTTCGGGGATGGCGGGAGGAATGCTGTCAACGTGTGGCTCTCGCCGTAGCGCCGCGCACATCCTGAAGAGCTTGTACCAGCTTCCGATATTCAAAAGGACAATTTTTCGAAATGGGGTTCTCGCTTTAGCACCGAGCGCATTCTTCTTAAACTGCTGCAACAAGTACTAAGATGCACGGCATCATTCAAATTGGGTTGTCGCCTTGGCGCCTCGCACATTCGTCATACCAGCTCATAGCAACTTCATGGGCCACACATCGTGCTCAACATGGGGAGCTCGCCTCAGCGCCGCGTCACTTCGTCGTAAATGCTTGCAAGTCCTCGCAGGATGGGGGAGGGTCCCTTTTCAACGAAGGACTCTCAGATGAGAACTCCTTAAACAGAACGACTGGAAACTTTGTCACGTGTAGCACTGCACGGGTCTATGGCCGCTCCTATTCAAAGTAGGGCTCTCGCTTGAGAACCCCTTGAAGGCAACGACGGTAAATGTAACACATGTGCAACACTTACACGGGTGGGGTGGTCATTTGTGTTGACAGGAGGGAGATATCGCTGGACATTTCACTGGAATGGATGATCACAGTATGCGCGGCAGTTTCTTTTGACGACGGGGCCCTCGCCAAAGTGGCTGGCAGACCCATTGGGTGTTGGTACTTCCATGGGTGCTCCTTCCAGTCAGAAGGAAGGCTTGTAGCGACTGGTGAGGCAAAGACTTGGGACGGACGGCTGTATGGCAGCATCGCTGATGCATCGTGGGTTTGCTCTGCCCCTCCTCCTACCCCAAAAGCTCTCCTCCCACTCGTTCGTGTTGGGGTTCATGGCCCCGAAGCAGCCGTACATTCCGCTGGCGTCAGGCATGAAGGTGTACTGCTCCTTGCAGCCCGTGAGCATGCGCCAAGCGTGCGTGCACTGGCCGCCGTTGATCTTGTCCCACCCTCCGCAGTGAATGGCGCACGCCTTGGCGGCCGTCGGGGGGGCAAATCTCCCAGATCTTTATGATACGAAGATTGCTCGCCGGTTTTGGCCTCTGGGGGCCCCCGCCAGGCCCAGGACCATCCAGGTCGAGCTCGGAGCGGAAACTGCGGCGGGGAAAGTGCCGGGACCCCTGGGGCCCACGCGCCGAAAACGAGAGAACAAGACATCCTGCCCGAGCTGGGCGTCGCGCAAACTTGAGCAGGGACCGACCGTCCCGGCATTCCTAGTCCTACCACGAAATGTTCTTCGAACCCTAAACTGTTCTAAGCACAAAAACCAGGTTCTTGGAACATAAACCTGACGTGCTAAAGCAAGACAGTCCCAACCAGAAACGTTCTAAGCACATCTCGTGGGAGCCACAGAAGATTCTCTCGGAACGCTGTTTGCTAGGGCCACAGGCGAGCCAGGACGCCTCGCCACTGCTTGACTCAAACGTGCCTCGACTCCACCGCCGTGCTCCCTCCCGGCCCTGGGGCCCCCGGGCACGCTCACGGGCGGCGCTGGCCGCCCGAGGCGCCGCCCGCCGCCCCGTGGCCGCGGCCGGCGTGCGGGCCCCCCGTGGCTTTCGACGACCCCGGGGAGTGGCGCTCGCGCTCTGCATCGAGCCGCTGTGCCGGGATGGCCACCTGGCCATCGCTCGGACGTCCCTTCCCCGTGCTTTTTTGGTGACTCGTGCGTGGCTTTTGCGCCAGATGATCAAGGATGCTCCTCGACGGTCCTCGCCGAGGGAAGCGTGCACACGTCCGAGCGATGCCAAGAGGATGGCCACGGGCCACGGGGGCCCGACGCGGGCCCCCCTACCGTCGGGGCGTTGACCCGAGGAACCCTGGAGAATCGGGTCGGGCAAAAGGGGGGGATAGCAAAGGGGGGGTTTGAGAATCAGCTCACGTAGCTGATTTTCCCGGCGCCTCCTGGCGCCGGAGGCGGCTATGTATCGAGGAATGGGCCCCTCGGTGAGGCCGACACCAGCTGCATGCAGCAAATTTCGTAACCCCCCCTTTCCCAATCCCCCCTTTCGCCCGGCCCGAGAGAAGGAACGAGGCCCCGTGTGTCCATAGATGATAGGCTTCGGCTTCCCATCGAAAGCCCCAGGAAAGCCTTGGGCAAGCTGTGAAACAATCGAGGAACACCGAGCCCCTCGTCGGGGACGGACAGATCGAGAACCTCTGAGACCCAGTGGATCTGGGGGATGCATCGGGCGCCGCGGCCTTCGCAGAGCGTTCCTGAACGCTCCGGGAGCGTTCCGGAACGCTCCGGAACGGACTTCTCGCCCCAGCCCCGTCAGGGACGCCCAGAGCCGAAAGGCGGTCACAACGCGGGGGCTGGGAGCATCATCCCGCCAGAGGCCTGGGATGGATCCGGCCGGAGAAGATGGGCGCAGAGGTGGGGGCGAGACTGCTGGACTTGACCCAGACCTACGATGTCACGGTTCCTCCCAGCCCTCCCGTGCTGGGAACGTGCCCGACTCGATGAGAGCACGCTGCTGCTCCCAGCCTCTGGTGTCCTCCCCCGCTTCCTCCCCTCCTCTTCGCCTCCTCCTCATTTTGAGTGGAGCGCTGCTGATCTTTTGTCGTTATCCTCCCTGTTCCTACCTCATTCCTCTGTCTCTCTCTCTCTCTCTCCCTCTCTCTCTCTCTGTCTTTCTTTTTCTCTCTCTCTCTCTCTCTCTCTCTCTATATATATATAGATATATATATATATATATATATATATATATATATATGTATCGTTCCTTTCATTATTGTTTTATTTCTTTATTTTTCTCTCTCTCTCTCTTTGTCACTCTTCCTTTTGTTCTCTCTCTCTCTCTCCGTCTTTCCTCACTGCCCGCTCACTCCCCTCCTGCTCGTTGCCTCTTCCTCTTCCTCCCCACTGACTGTTGCCATCTGCGCAACTATCGCCGTTTTCGTTGGCGTGTGGAGTGTCCAGCGGGGTGCGGGGCTACGCAGACCCAAACGAGACCTCGCCCTCTCTGGGTGCTGCCCAATGTGTAACTGTCGCCGCTTTCGTGAGCTTGTGGGGCCCTTTCTGGGTAACGCAACCTGCACAACCCTCGTCGTTTCAGTGATGCCCTAAGGAATACAGCGGAATGCGGGGCTGCACAAACCTATACGGGACCTCGCCCTCTCTAGAGGCTGCCAGCTGTGCAACTGTCGCCACATTCGTGAGCTCATGGAATGCTCGACGGGGATCCAAACGAGACCGCCCTCCCTCGGTGCCGCCAACTGCGCAACTGTCGACGCTTTCGTGCAGGAGGTCCACCAGAGTGCGGGATACGCTGACCCAAACTGGACCTCGCCCTGACTGGATGCTGCCAATTGGGTGCTACCAACTGCGCAACTGTCGACGCTTTCGTGCAGGTGCACCAGAGTGCGGGATACACTGACCCAAACTGGACCCTCGCCTTGACTCGATGCTGCCGACCGGGTGCTGCTAACTGTGCAGCTGTCTCCAATCTCGTTAGCTTGTGAGATGTCCATGGGAATGCGGGGCTACGCAAACCCAAACAAGAAGACCCTGGTCTCGGGAGGCTGCCACATGTGCAACCACCCCGCTTTCGTGAGCTCCTGCGGGATCCAGAGCTACGCAAGCCCAAACGGAACCTCGCCCATGATGACTGTGGGTGCTGCCAACCTCGCAACAAATCCACATGATCCGAAACCGTTTCTTCTGATCCGGCCCGGCGGTCGTCCTTCGGACACGCAAGAATAAAATCCACGCCACCAAAAAACGTTCGCATTAATCTAGTCCACCAGCTGGCGTCGTTCGGGCCCGCAGGAACACTCCTCATGTGACCAGGACACGTTTCAGTGACCGCGCACCAGTTCCTGGGCCTGCTGGTCCACCGCGCAGGTGACCAGAACACATTTCAGTGATCTTGGCCCATCGCTCGTCCGTCGGACCCGAAGGACCGTTCTCCCATACGACCATGAACAACTTCTTTGATTTTGACCGGAGATCGCCCTTTGGACACGCCAGAAACCCATGGTGGCCGGAGAACATATTTCTTTATTCTGATTTGGCGGTCGCCCTTCGGCCCAGCAGGCGCTTCGACAAGCTGAACCTGAAGAGGTATTGACTGGCCAAAGATATATTTACATGTCTATGACGGGGAAGTGCTCGACGGGTGCCCGAATGAGGCTCCGATGCGCGTGCGAGCTCGGACTGGAAGGGCTCCCACACGACTGAACGCATGGGCCGCCAGCGGGTGTTACAGCGCGCTCAGATGTTTATCTGCACGCTTCACGCGAGCGCACTGTCGCGCGAGCACGCCTCTGGCGCCCGCACTGTGTCGCATGGGGTTGCGGCCGCGATGTTGGATAGAACCCTCGACTCTGGATCGCTGCTGCATCGACAACATGACATGAAGTAGTGATGATGATGCTAGTATCAGGGTGAGGGGGCCGAGCGGTCTTACACCGTCCCTTGGAGTGTCCAAAGCGGGAGTCTGCGGCGCGGCTTCTGCTTGTTGCTTGCTCTAGTCGTCGCCCTCGCCCACGACCCGCCCGCGACCCGCCCGCGCCACATCCAAGACCCACCTGCGACCGACCCGCGTTGCTTTGACGACAGAAGTCGGCGCCGGGCTTGCTGTGCCATGGCCATGTGTACGAGATCGGCGCCTGTGGCGGGCTTCTTCAGAGCCTCGCGGACTGCCGACAACCCCGCCGCTCCCTCACTCTTATCCGCAACTGCGGTGGCTATGTGGGGAAACCAAAAGGTACGGATGCCGCTCCCAGGACCTCTCCCAGGTTGCGTTCTGACCAGGATTTCTAAGCGAATCCAGCGGTGGCGACGAGGGCCACACAGGAGGCCGAAGAGAAAGAAAACGGGCGAAGGGTAGCGGTATCGGTATCTTTTCCCTCCTCTACGTAACTTCGTCGCCGCAGAGTGATCGCCATTCCTCGTCGCCCGACCGCCTCTCAGGCTGACTGCCCTGGAAGCCAACGGTCACCCTGGAATTGCGACCGAACGCTGGGCCACAACAAAGTACGGGTCAGGAGCATGGGCCCGGCCCCTTCGCCATAGACCCGAGGCCGCAAACCCTACAGTCGGACCAAGGCCAGAAGAACATCCCTCAAGAGCATAAGGCCATCCGCCGGCCAAACCAAACAGAGACATCCACGGGTACCCTTCCCAGGATGCACAAGAACATCCAGCAAACACGAAGAACACTAGGGACCACTCCCCGAACCGACCTCGATCTTATACCTAGGTCCGACTGGATGAGTCGGAGGTTGATAGGGCCCTCACCCTGCCAAGGCGGTCAACGAGTTGCACGTTTCGGCCTTCGATGGGGCGTTGCGGCCGCATTCGATGCAAGCCTGCGTCCGCCTGGCATGGCCTCGTGTCGTTTGCACACATGTGTGCGCGTGTACGCTAAAGGTGGCTACTCCGAATGGAGTCACCCAAAACAACGAACCGTCCAAAGCAAATAAGGCCCGAGACTGAAGAACGTGAGGTTCTTAGTCCAAGGCCAAGGTTGCTCTTGAACCCTCGCGCCAGCCGCACCGGTGGAAGCTGTCTGCTCACAACCCCGAGCCAGCGCCACTCCTCCGTCTCGTGCTCCTGCTTATGCTGGATGTCTCGGAAGTCCCCGGAGCCGACAGGTCTCTCGGGAGGCCTCTGGCGGCCCGAGAGCACCCGCCATCTTCGAGGATCAGGAGGAGCAGTGGGGGCTGAGGTAGCCTCATTTGTTTGTTGCTCCGCCCAAGTCAGCATTGTGTTCTTTTGCATAAGCGCCACAAGCCCGAGTTTCAGGTCCGCTCAGCGTCAAGAAGGAGGAGCTGAGGAGGGGGGGGGCCGACGACAACGACGACGACTTCGCCGGGCATCCTCCAGAGCCCCCGGAGGGAGAAAAAACAAAAGCATGTCCACCATAAAGCCT